AATACTAGTAGGATGAACTCCCCAAGTAGATGCCACCTTAAGTCCTTGCTACTGCATTTTTTCCCTTTTTTTTATATAACCTTCTTTTTTTTTTTTTTACTTTTATTGGAAAGCATGGTATATATATATATATATATATATATATGAAGGAGGAGCGACAGAGAGGATGATCTTCCATCTGCTGTTTCATGCCCCAAATGGCCATAATGGCTGGATGTGAGCAGATTTAAAGCCAGGAGCCCAGAGCTTCTCCCAGCTCTCCCACACATGTGCAGGGTCCCATGTGTATGGGCCATCCTCCACTGCTTTCCCATGCCACAATCAGGGAGCTGGATGAGAAGTGGGGCTGCCGGGATTAGAACCAGCATCCATACAAAATCCCAACATATGCAAAAAAAGGACTTTACCCACTAGGTTATCATGCCAGGCCCAGCCTCTTTATTTCTGATCCAGCTCCCTTCTAGTGCATGTGGCAATGCAGAGGATGTTCCAAGTGCTTGATTCCCTGTACTGATAGGGGAGAACTGGGAAGAAGCTTCAACCCGGCCTTGCACAAGGAACAGAACAAGCTGATCAATTTACCCCAGACAAGCATTGGTGGTGAATACGTGGACAGAGACTCTAAGACAAATTATATCAACCAGTGGATTATGGAGAGACTTCATTGTGCTTGGAATGGCGAGATCAGCAGTAATTCAGAACTGCTAAACTATCAAAACCTCATGAGCAGGACCCTCAGAGCATGCCCCACACCAGGGATCATGAGATGGTTGGCAGGCTCGGTGTGGCTTCTCCATTTATCTCCTTCCTATCCACAGAAACAGGAAGAAAACAAAGAGAATGTGGAAATGGTGATCTCACCTAACTTCCTGTAGCCTTGACCTTTGTCACCATAACCAACTAACTATGCAACAATCACCAAAAATAAAAACAATTAATTTAAAAAAAGGTAAACTGTCCCCAATCTACACAGTAAGATAGTGGGTTTTTTAATTCCTTAAAAAAACAATTTACTTCCTTAGAAGTGATAATCACAAGGCAAGACTCAAAGCCAGCCAGAAAGATCTTCCTACCACTTGTTTACTCCCCATGTGGCCACAAGAGACAGCAAGGCCCGGGACAAAACCAGCAGCCTGAACTCCATTCTGATCCTCCACAGTGTTGCAGGTGGCCAAGGAATGGGACATTTTATTCTATCTCCTAAGCACATTAGCAGGGAAGTAGATCAGAAGGTGAGCATCAGGGACTTAACTGGTCCTTATATAGAATGCTGGCATTGCATGCAGCAGTGTAACATGCTATCACAAAACATGCCACAACAATTGTTTAAATAGATCTGATAATCAAAAGTCAGGTTGCTTTTCCCACTGAAACTTCTGCTCATCCCATACCTGACATACAACAATGTTCTCTAGTTTTTTGTATAATGTAAATACCACTGCTGGAAAACTAACCTTGAACCTAGATGGAAAGATACTGCACTGCTTTTACATGTCACTACTCACTTGACAGGAAGATTGACAGAAAAACAGATGTTTTATGCATTTTTTTTCTGAATCCCTTTCCTAGCTGTGGATGTGTCAGACTGACTCCAGGTCTCCCTCATGCATCTCACATGTGGGTGGGACATATGCAAGTACTTATACCATCACCACATGCTTGTTAGTAGCAGGCTGGATTGAATCAGGTTCATTGTAATTGCATGCATTTGACATACTGACACACACTTACAGTGTTTTTTTTTTTTCATTTTAATACCGCTGTTAACTTACTGTTACTATCTCTCAGACAGTGCAAAGTGCAGTCATTAGCGGCTTATGTCCTCACCTTGAACATGCCAGGATTCCATATGGGTGCCAGTTCTTATCCAGGCAGCTCCACTTTCCATCCAGCCCCTTGATTATGGCCTGGGAAACCAGTCGAGCATGACCCAAAGCCTTGGGACCCTGCACCCATGTGGGAGACCCAGAAGAGTGTCTGGGCTACTGGCTCCACTTTCGCATAGCACGGGCCATTTCAGTCACTTGGGGAGTGAATCATTGGATGGAAGATCTTCCTCCTGTCTCTCCTCCTATTTGTATATCTGACTTTGCAATAAAAACAAATAAATCTTTTTTTAAAAACTAAACAAATCACTAAAAAATATATATAATACAGAAAACCTGGAGAGGAAATTTCAATCAGCTTTTACAGTTCCAATCTTTAGTAATCAAAATTTTACCTTCTTTCTCTCACATTTTTTTCTTCATTTTAGTTTAAAAACTCCTCATGCTCCTCAAATACCATCTAAAGCAAGCTGAGAAGTAAACAAACAACTTACGGAAGGTGTGTTGGTGTTCTCCAGCCTGGGAAGCATGTAGCAGGCTGCAGGGCTACACCTGCAAGAGAAGGTGGAGACAGGGAGTTAGGCATTGGTCTTGATTGTTCCTAGCCTCTTCAGTGGTTCCTACTATGCTAAGCAATGTCAACTTGGAGGCAGACACAGTGGCTGAAAAATAAAAGCCATCAGCTTCCCTGGGCAAAAATAGTGCCTTACAATTGCCAAAATGCATCCTTGAAACAGTAACAATAATTTCAGTAACCGGCAGTGATTAAACCCAAGTAATCAGTAGGTCAATGCAAACAATTACTATTTATTTAATAATAATGTTGCTGGGACTGGCACTGTAGCCTAGTGACTAAATTCCTCCCTTCACATGCAGGGATCCCATATGGATGCTGGTTTATATCCTGGCTGCTATATTTCCCATCAAGCACCCTGCTTGTGGCCTGGGAAAGCAGTCAAGGACAGAACAATACCTTGAAGCCTGCATCCATATGGGAAGAAGCTCACAAGAAGAATTCACAAGAAGCTCCTGGCTCCTGGCTTCCACTTTGGCTCAGCTCCGGCCAATATGGTGACCTGAGGGGTGAGGTAGCAGATGGAAGATCTTTCTGTCTCTGCTAATGGAAATCTGTCTTTCCAATGAATAGTTTTAACAAATTTTTAAAAATCATAATGTTACTGCAAAGCACTACTTTTTCAACTACTATTGTTAAAATTACAAAATACCACAGAAAAACCATAGTGTCACTAAAATGTATGCTTCAGAAAAGTAACTGAATGGTATTAAGTACTTCAACATTTCTACATTCAAAGTAGTTTTGTCTATAACTATATGTGAAAATTGAATATTATATGTAATCTATAAAGTTTTCTAGTAATTGTTCCAAATGTAAGTTCCTAAGTCTTGAAGGATAACATGGGTATCCATATCACTTGATAAACTTGCTGTGCTGTAACACATGCCTCATTAGCTCCCAGTTTTAACTTAATCTAATAATGTAAAAGAATCTGGGTAGGGAACCAGCTTCTGAGAGTACTCTCTCCATACGTTCCATCCTGGCCTCTAAAACAAAAACATACAACCAGATGGCATCAGCATCCTGTGGCTAAGCATCCACCATCAGTGCTGTCATCCCATATGGGTGTTGCTTCAGCTTGGGCTGCTCCAGTTACAATCCAGCTCCCTGCTAATGGCTAGGAAAGAAGTAAGGATGGGCCAAGTCCTTGAGCACCTGTGTTTCTGTTGGAGGGCTAGGATAAACTCCAAGCTCTTAACTAGCACCAGATAACTTCAGCTAGTGAAGACAGTTAGGGAGGGAACCACCACATGGAAGATGCCTCTCTGTCTCTGCTCCCTCTCTGTAATGTTGCCCTTCAAATAAAAATACATTTTAACAGAATATCTATTTCAAAAAAGACAAGGAAATCAGTCCTCTCTGGACTTCTCCCTAATACCTTTAATACTTCCAATCCAAAGTCACTGCAAATGTGCTGCTTCTATAGAGATTCACCCACAGTGGACACTGCATATGGTGAAGATGGGATCTAGGTGTCCTCATGCTCAATAAAGCACCTCATCACCCTGGCAGGCCCAGAAACCATACCATTCAGGATCTCACAACAGGCAACTGAGCACAGAAAAAGCAGAGCTGTCATCTGGTGGCAGTCAGCAGGAGGTGGAGGTCTGTGTTCTCAGTTATAATTGCCTGGAGTGCAGTTCACACTTGACCTGGTATGATGCAGGGGGGTTGGGGGTGGGTTCTAACTTCAAATAACATTAAGTCTTCCTGTCTTGATCAAATCTTGAATTTTCTTCAAATATGTTTTTTAAAGAAGGCAATTACCAGAAACTATGGTAACTGTGAATGTTCCAAAATGTCTTAGGTTCCTTTAGAAAAGGATGCACATGGACAGAGGAAACACCACATAAGGGTACAGGAAGATGGAGGCTGTGAGTTGGCCAGGGAATGACCTCAGCAGAAACCAAATATATTACCACCTTGCTCTTAAACTTTCAATCATTAGAAACACAAGAAATGAATTACCTTGATTCAAGACACATTGTATAGTATATATTTATGAGAACCAAATTTTCAACTATACTTCTTTCTGCCATGAGAAAGAACCCACTATCAGAGCCATATAGAAACCGAAGGTTATGATTTTAGATGCCTAACATTTAAAAGAAAACACTCTGAAGGAGAATTTTACCAGGCACCAGGAGATCCTGACTGCCTACCGTCCAGTCTGACTCCTCACATACTCCTCCAATGCTTTTATGCACACAGCAGCCCTCTGCTTGTTCCAGGACAGGCAGCCTAGGACAGCCTCCCCTTTCATTAAGCATGCCCCGCTGCCATGCTTGTTGCTTAAAGGCCACACCAGCTCTGGCAGTGCCCACCATATCCCTAGCCTGCCTGCTGGTGGCTATAGGACCAGGCCTCCTTAAAACACCCTGGGATTGTTTGGCGTGATCTCACTTGCACCCCACAAACATTGTTAGTGCTTCAGGACAGGAGTACAGCCTTTGCTAGTCTCTTAAATTGCTTACTTTACTCATTTAAAACAAATAAGTGAATTAATAATGAAAAGGTATGTTCGCTCTGCCAGGCAATAAGACATTGGAAAATCCTGGAGATGAGTTTTGAGTGTAACATATGGGAAATTGATATACAGGACAGCACCTCCAAATACAACAGAGAAGCAGGGACTGTGATGAAGGACAGTGGGCAGAATTGGATATCAGTGATTCCTGCAGTTTCAGCTGCTCATATCTAACGTTTCCCCCTCGTATATGTGCCAAATTCTGGGTGGTGTCATGTGAACTATTTCATTTTTAATACTCACAGTAACTGCACGAGGCCAAAACTATTTATTTTACATCAAAGAAATACAAGTTGGGGCACACTTTCTTTTCCTATAAGAGACCAATAAAGATGTCCACATTCCATATTGGAGTGCTTAGATTTGATTGCATGCTTTGAATCTAGCTTATTGCTATTACACACTCTGGGGAGGCAGACCCAGTGTTCAGAAAGTTAGCTGCTGGGCCACACACCCAGATTGTGTTCCTGGCTTTCAGCTCTGGCCAGCTCTGGCATGCCAGTCATTTGAACAGTGAACCAACCAGCAGGAGGAGGAACTCTGTTGTATTGTCTCTGTCCTCCTCTCATATAAATATGTAACAAACTGAGATTTAAGAAAGATGAGTAGCAGAGTGCCTACCGGACTCCCTGGCATGTCAGTGGCCTTCATTCCTGATTGGCTGCGGGGCAGTGCTGAACTGAAATCAATCAGGAGACAACCCAGCCACTCCTGGAGGAGAATGATCAGCTCATCCACTGCATCACTGAGCACCAGAACAAGGGCCAAGCCCATGAGTGTGTCCAGTACCAGCACGTGTTACATAGAAATCTCATTTATCTAGCTACCATTACAGATGCAGCCCAGTCAGTACTTCAAAAGCCAAAAATGTTCCAGTTCGCTACTGTGAAAAGAAACCGATATAATCCCTCTCTTACAAAATGCACGCAAGATCTTTACCAATTCAACTACTCAGAATGTGAATGAAATCCCTATTGCAAAAATATGAAGGTTAGTAACTTAATTATGTTTTCAATGTAAACACTGATTTTCATGATCAAGCAGAACCCTCAAGAGATTGGCTCAGATGTCATCTTTCCTGAAACAAAAGTATGTTTGCATAACAGACATGATGGGCATCTTCAAGGCCACATTTTTGTTGCACTTTAAGAAGTTTCAGCTGAGTTTGTGTGGTCAGGCTCTGGCCTTGCCAAATGGACACGCCATTGTGCCCTCCCTCCTGGGAGCTTGTCAATATCCTCCCATGACTGTTTTCAGGTTGCTTTGAAATAAAGCTTGCATTTCCAGGAAAAAAAAAAAAAGAAAGAAAAAGAAAGATCAGTAATTTGCTCATGGTAAATAATCAGTAATGGGCAATATGAGATGAAATTCCACTATTAAAATTTCATTTTAATCCCAACTATTCACTACTTTCTGATCACTGAAGGGATGAAAACAGTCAAACCAAGCAAAAAGGCACCCCCAAACACACACACAGAGCTGTTCTGAAGCAACATCCAGACTGCAAAGACCAAGAGTTCAAACAACAAGGTGAAGTTCACAGTACATTTAGTGGTAAGAGAACAACTGCTGGGTGGGAGACCCTGGAGGTGCTCCTGGCTCCTGGCCTTGGATCAGCTCAGCTCTGACTGTTGCAGCCATGTGCGAAACAGAATCAATGGATGAAAGATTTTTCTATCTCTCTTTCTCTCTGTAATTTGAATTTCCAACAAAAACAAATGTTTAAAACAACCACCACCAGGGATTCTTCCCTAACACACACACACACACACTCCATCATTCTCTCTGCTCTATATCTATATCTATAATGTCTATATTTATATTTACTAAAAGGTTTGACAGATAAAAAGCACATTGATGCAAAGGACTTGACTGGAATGGGAGAACAGTTACTTGTATTTCTTCCCTGCTGTAGAGGTGCACATCACAAAGATCCAGACTGGACAGCACCAAGTGGCCCATCAGGCTCTGTGTTGGCCCTTCTTGCACTGGCACAGCACTACCCACCATGACTGGCGACTATCAGGAAAGTTTTAAAAAACAGCTTCTTCCTTTGTTTGTTTGTTTGTTTAATGGTGTCTTGAGAATCTGATGTCGGTCAAAGAACCCACCCCCTTTTTTAAAGCTTTTATTCACTTTTATTGCAAAGTCAGATATACAGAGAGGAGGAGAGACACAGAGGAAGATCTTCCGTCCAAAGATTCACTCCCGAAATGACCACAACGGCCTGTGCTGTGCCGATCCAAAGCCAGGAGCCAGGAACTTCCTCCAGGTATCTCAAGCAGGTGCTGGGTTCCCAAGGCTGTGGGCCATCCTTGACTGCTTTCCCAGGCGACAGGCAGGGAGCTGGCTGGGAAGTGAGCTGCTGGGATTAAAACCTGTACCCATATGGGATCCTGGTGCATTGAAGCAGAGGACCCTAGCTAATAGGCCACTGTACAGAGCCCAAAATAACAACTTTTATACAATCTCTCTGAGCCTTTACTAATCCTCCAACAGCCTCACAACCACAATCCAAAGCCCACCCAGTGGTAAGGTCTGTGGTTTTAGGACTATGAATGCCTGCCCATGTACCTCCATGTTCAGCCCACTGTGCTTCTGGGATGTGAATCAATCTTGAAGACTCCCAACAGCAGAGTAACTTTTCACTTGAAGGTAAGCAAGGGTACTGAGACCTGGTAGTTTCCGGAAGAGGGACTAGATCATCTTCATAGGTCAGACTGATATATCCACCTCCTTTGAAACCTGTGTAGAACTTGTGATCACTGAACAATGCTGACCACCTTACACCAGTCCATGCAAAAGCTAAGGCTATGGTCTTGTCTAGCAGAAGCAGATCCTAGAACCTGACAGATTCATGAATCAGGAGACAGGTCACAATAGGCAAGGCCATGACATTAACCAGCACATGAGAGAACCATTTCCAGGATAGTTTCTGTGGCGAAAGTGTACCTCAAACCCGTGGAAATACTAGTCCCACTGGTTAGCTCAAGAGTTGGGGTGGCGATGGGCTAAGCTAGGTGTGGCCATGCCACCTGCCATCACTCATGGGTAAAGGAACCCACAACAGTCAGGGTAGGTCAAGTCAGCAGTACCCAAATGTGCATCCCAAATAGGGTGTGGGATGTGCTGGGATACAAGGTTTACCAGCTCATGCAAGGCCAAATGAAAGGCCAGACTATGGCCAATAATGGCCTAACAATCAATCATATGTATGAGAACCAGGTCTGGGAGTGGGTCCAGTGGAGGAACTTCGAAACTCTCCTGGTGTGTCATAGTTCCTGCTGGTGAACACAAGGTCCAGGCATGGGGGTCGGACAAGCTGGGCAAAGTAGCTCCAATGGCTGGCTAATGTTTGGGTTGGTAATGGAACATGGTAGACCAGGCAGGGCCGAGTAAACCTTAGCTCACAAGCAAAAATAGAAATCAAAATAAAGCACAAGTCATGCTGAGCTAGGCTCTTACACCTACTGATCTGCATGAGCCAGGGGTGCTAGGCCACAGCATCAAAGGCAAAGGCCAAGACAGGTGAGAGGCTGAGCCAAACTGAGTCAGAGCAACTACTGGCATCCACACAATTTATGGCTTGGAACAGGCCTGGTTGGGGAGATAAGGGTCCACAGTAGCTGACTTGGGGTTCCCACTGAGGAGCACAGAGGCTATAGTGGGTAATGCATTCTGGTCTGGATATAGCTGCAGTCTCCCTTGGCACAAGTGTGGACTGGGACTAGATGCCCCAAGCCAGGCCAGACTCCAACACCATCTGATGTTCTGGAGAACCATGGTAGCTGTGGGATGGGCTAAGCTTGGTCTCTGCCCCTACTGAGCCATGTGTGAGCTGTGTTTGGGTATGGATGAGCCTTGGCTGCGCTAAAACATCCAACAATAACCAGAATGGGTTAAAGGCCAGTTAGGAAAGACCACTGTTTCTGCTAGGACAGGAGGTGGACTGAATAGGACTGGCTCATGGACCTACCAGTACATGCAAAATCTGGCATTGGGAGAGGTTCTCATGGAGCAATCTGGGCAACTCCTCTGTCAGGACACAACCCAGCAGGTAAGCACAATAAGCACAAAATGAACAGCCCAGAGCAGGCCACGGAAAGGTATCCACCAGCAGACATTTGGCACAGGTCAGGGGTGGACCAGGCTGAACCAGTTCACATCACTGCTGATGAATCTGAGCAACAGAACAGTGTAGGTCGAACCAGTTATGGTTGCAACACATGTCAGTACACATTATAGCTGGAATTGAGAGTTGGCCTGGCCAGGTAGGCTACAGCACCCACTAGCTGGTAGGGGGAATGCAGAGGGCACCCCTGCTGGAACACCTCACTCACTGCACAGCATGAGTTAATACCAGGCAGGGCTATAACACCTGTGGGCCTCATGTGAAACACATCAGGGAAGAGTCAGGCTTGACTGACTGTCCCTCCTACAGGACCTACATTCTACATAGTTCAGGGATGGGCCAGGCTGAACCAGTTTTCGTCAGCCACTGATGAATCTGAGCAACAAAATAGTACTGGTCAGGACAGTTATGGTCACAACACATACCAGTACACATTACAGCTGGGATAGGGTACACGCTGGGCTGTATCCCTCACCAGCTGGAATTGGGGGTGAGCCGGGCCAGGCAGGCTAGAGCACACACTAGCAAATGCCAAGGTGAAGCGGGCCATGCCAGATTGGGTCACAGCACTCATAGGAACCAGAGAGGAAGGGGGTAAAGCTTGTAAGGAGAATATGGAGGGCACCCTGCTGGAACATCTTGCTCACTGGACAGCATGAGTTGGGATGGGGACAGACCAGGCAGGGCTATAACACCTGTGGGCCTCAGGCGAGCCAGATCAGGGAATAGTCAGGTTTAATTGGCTGTCCCTCCTGGGCAAACATAAAGCAGAATAGGTGAGGGTTGGCTGGGTTTTACAACAGCATCAGATAGCAGATGCTGGCACCTGTGGCTAATCTGTCAATTTAAACTACAGAATCATGTGAAAAGTGCATGATCTGGGAGTTTTGAGTGATCTAGGAGGGAAACAGTGGGCACCTCCCTCTTGGCTTACCACTTCCACTGCAGAGCATTTAAACCAGCACTGGGGCAGGGGTGGCTGGACAGAATGGCTACAAACAGAATGTGTGTGAGCTGAATAGTGGAGCCGGTTAGGTTAAACTAGGCTTCAATGCCTTTGACGTGCATGAGAGCTGAACGGGATATGGGACAGACTGAACCAGTTGGCTGCACAAATTGGCAAGCATGGGAACTAGGGCAAGGGACAGGCCTGGTGGGGGTTACTGTGGCTGGCCACAACTAGGTTGCAGTTCCCACTGGTTTATGTGAGGATCGAGTGTGCGCTGTGCAGAATCAGGCTGAACTGCAACACCCATTGGTTCCAGAGGAAGACAGGGCTGAAAACAGACCCAACATAGTAATTACAACCACAACTGATTGGGGCAATGGACTGTATCGGGCCCTGTACCTGAAAGTACACACAAGAATCTAGTCCAGGATCACTTCAAAGTTTCTTTGGGCATTTCCCCACTCCAACTGCTAGACTCAGAACTCTACCCATGGAGGGAAGTGCAGGTTCCAGGGTCTGCCATGGAGTGCAAGTGCCAGAGCTGAGCCACCTAGGAGGCTCAGACAGAGCAATGGAAAGTATAACCAGGTACACATGGAGCACATGGCAGTCTATGGGAACCTGCAGACGATACCTGGCACCACAACAGAGGACAGAACACATCAATCAAATACCCCAGCCATATGTTGGCAGTGAAAAACTGGGCAAATGGAGACTCTAAGATGGGCTATGTCAGTCAGTGGATTCTGCAGCGAATTCATTAGGCTTAGAATGCTGAGATTAGGACCCGGTGCCATGGCCTAGTAGGCAAAATCCTCGCCTTGAGTGCTCTGGGATCCCATATGGTAGCCGGTTCTCATCCAGGCAGCCCACTTCCCATCCAGCTCCTTGCTTGTAGCCTGGGAAAGAAGTCAAGGATGGCTCAAAGCTTTGGGACCCTGCACCCAAGTAGGAGGCCCGTGAGAGCTCCTGGCTCCCAGCATCAGATTGGCACAGTACTGGCCATTGTGGTCACTTGGGGAGTGAATCATTTGACGGAAGATCCAACATGATCCTACACCATACGCCCACACCCATCCAGCCCAAGCCAGCAAGGGTGGAGTTCCCCAAGCTGCACCAACCAATGCCTAAATCCTTTGCACCTGTCGGTGCTACACTCACCATCCAGGGCGAGTTGGGCTCCCTCCCACCACAGCCCAAGGCACCACAGAACCTGACCTTCATGGCAGCTGGCAAGGCTGGTCAGAACGTGGTGTTGTCAGGCTTCCCTGCACCTGCGCACCCTGCGGACCAGCGTCTTCAGGTAGCCACCGGCCACTGCAACTGGGGCGGTGCCACCAAGGCCATCAGGCATCCTGAGCAAGTCCATGAGCATGCACCTGCTGAGCCAGGGCAGCAGTATCGTCATCCCTGCCCAGTACAAGCTGCCTGGCCATAACCAGTTCCTACTGCCTGGCGTCCCCACCGTCCAGCTCCCACAACCACTCTCCTCCCTGCCAGCCAATGTGGGAGGCCAGATCCTGGCTGCTGCATCCCCTCACACACACGCACAGCTCATCACCAACCCCATCCTCACAACCCAGAACTTGGCAACCGGATGAGCCTGGGCCCTGTGCTGGCCCCGCCCTCAGGTGCACACAGCACTGCCACGCACATCCTCTCGGCTGCACCCATCCAGGTGGGCCAGCCCATGCTCTTCCAGATGCCTGTCTCTGGTGGTGGGCAGCCTACCTGCACAAAGCCAGCCTGCAGGCGCGGGCCCCACCACCACCACCACAGTCCTGCAGGACGTCACCCTGCCTCCCAGCGCCTTGGCCATGCTCAACATCCCCATGGGCTGGTGCAGCCAGTAGCTCTTCCCCCTGCTGTGACAGCTTCCTCCTCCAGCACTACCACTGGGGAGGCCTCCCCCGTGCTCACCATGCAGCCCACCCCACCAGCACCCCCTGCAGCCAGCACACTGCTGCCTGTGGACCTCCATCATGCACAGGTACATATTCCCCTTTGCCGGCAGCCTCCCAGCCCTGAGTGTGATCAAGGGTCCCGTACCTTAACTACAGTTAAAGGCCTCTGCACTGCAACCCAGCAAGGAGGCCTGTCCCCTGGAGCATTTGCACAAACATCAAGGCTCTGTGCTGCATCCCGACTGCAAGACAGCCTTCCCCTACCTGCAGGATGCCCTGCACTTCCTGCTGCCCTACCACGTGTACCAGGGCACCCTCCCCTCCCCCAGTGACTACAAGGTGGAGAAGGAATTTGAGACGGTCTCCACCCAGTTACTGAAATGCACCCAGGCCGTCGCACCTGCCCACCAAGCTTGTGATCTGGCATGGTGGGGCTGATGGATCGCCTTCCGTGTCCTGGGCTCGGGCGTCCTCCTGCCTGTCCTCCTCCTCATGGTCCACTGCTCTTCCCTGGATGCCGATGAGGACAGCCCCACGCCTTCTTGCACCCGCCCGCCAATGAAGACCTACAAGGTGCGAAGCCACATCAGTCTCAAGCTCAAGATCAAACAGGAGACCAGGCTCAGCAAGGTGGTGCACAACACGGCGCTGGACCCTGGGCACCAGCCGCCCCTGCACCCCAGAGCACCGAACCCCTGCAGCGCCCACCCCCGCCACCACCAACCCGGCCAGCCAGATGAACGGCATCATGAACCACATGCCACCGCCGGCCACACCCACCACTTACAAGGCCCTGGGCCTGCACCACCCGGGTCGCGCCTGCCACTATGCCAGAGCTACCAAGAGCATGCGGCCATCAGCGCCACACCCCTGCCCAAGGTGGACAAGGCCACAAGTGGTCTCATCCGCTAGATTGCTGCAGTGGAGTACAAACCATACCAGCAGTTACTTAAGGGGACAGCCCATGAAGCCACCCACGCCCAGGGTAGGGATGCTGGCTGGGAGGCCCCCACAATGCCACACGCAAAGTGGCACAAGTCCTAGTCCGCAGACATGGACGAGGCCAGCTTCTCGCGCCATAGTCTGCAGGATGACACTCTCAGTGAGCACTTGTGAAGTGCCATCCACAGCATCCTGAACCTGCAGCAGGCGCCGGGCCAGCCACACAGTGTGCCAGCACCTGCCACCTCCCCGCACCCCTGCACCGGCCCAACGCTTACTCACCCTCCAGCTTCAAAGGTGGCCTGGGCCACACGGACATTGAACAGTGGGCGGCCAGAACTGCTCATGCAATGATTAAGTAATTGCAGTCACCGAGGACCACCTGGTGGAGATGTGGGAGTGGGGTGTGCACCTGGGGAGGGGACAGAGGGTGACAGTCACTCCTTCCCTCTCTCCCCACAGCCCCCAGTGCCCATGCTCACCACAGCTCACACTAGCCAGGGGCCTGCAGGAGGCCACCCACAGCAGGGAGGGTCAACCCTGACCACACAGCAGCCCTAGAGGAAACCAGAGCTTGGTGGAGATTAAGCAGGGTGCTCCCACCTCCCCCTGTGCCTTCCCCACGACCCGCACAGCCGCCCCTAACTCTGATGGGATCTGAGTGCAGCCACCAGAAACTGGGGTATTCCCAGCCCCCAAAACACAGGTCCACCTGCACAACCAGTCTTCCTCTGCCTTCATCTGCCCATGCCACGGTTTAAAATCCCAGAGACAGAACTAGTTGTATAAGATAATTTTTTGTATTATATTTATTGCATATAAAGATTTTTTTGAAAGGAGAATCCTGTACACTTAGACCTCTTGTAAATTAAAAGACAATTTTTAAGAAAAAACACTAAAAAAAAAATTAAAAAACTAAATGAGGAGATGTGGGCATCCAATAGAGTGGATGAGAAACTGCTTAGGAGACGCTCATCCTACACTGGACTTCCTGTGTTTGTGTTATCGCTCCACAACAAACTCCATCTCACTGCTAACGCACTCCCTGGAAGCAGGCAGGGAATTTCTCAAGTACGTGAGTCATTGCACCTGCTGTCATGGACATGGATTTAGTTCCTGGCTCCAATTTTTGACCTGACCTTGTCACAATCTTAAAGGACTTTAAGGAGTTAACCAGATGATAGATCACTCTGTCTCTATGACTTGTACAAATTAAATAAATTAATAAAAATTATATTAGAAATAAGAGAAAAAACATTTTTTAAAGATTCATTTATTTTTATTGCAACATCAGATATACAAAGATTAGGAGAGACAGAGAAGATCTTCCGCCTAGTGATTCACTGCCCAAGAGACCACAATGGCCTCCATTGTTTCCAACTGAAGTCAGGAGCCAGGAACTTATTCTAGGTCTCCCACGTGGGTGCAGAGTCCCAAGACTTTGGACTGTCCTTAACTGCTTTCCCAGGCTGCAAGCAGGGAGCTGGACTGGAAGTGGGACTACCAGGACTAGAACCTGAGAACATATGAGATCCTGGTGCGTTCAAGGCAAGGACTTTAGCCACGGTGCCAGGCCCGAGAAAAGAAATTTAAAAACAAGAAGTGTCATGGCTGTTTACTGCAGCTTTTCACACACAATTTTGAGGACCACTTGATTCTTCCCAGTGATTCTAAATACAGCAGCATATTATGTGAAAGAAATTCTCATAGAACAGCAAGGGAAGGTACACACCGACTGGCAGTAATCAGGATAAGTTAATGCTACAGTATCAGTGCCCAGCAGGTGGGAACTGCTACTTAACAATGTGATCAGAGATCTCAGTTAACACTACATGAAAACAATAAAATCTACCAAGTCCTAGAGAAACACAAAATAAATAAATGCACATGGAACAAATCTTAGACTCAACCCTTCTACCTTAACAATACTTCGCAAACCATCAGAATTTATCCACAATTTTTCACCTAAGAATATTGAACCATATGGAAAACACCTGACATAATTAGCATATGAGAAATAAAAAGCAAGAAAAATATCATCACCAGTATCAAAGCTAAAGCAGAGCCTAGCCCAGTGGCTAGTCCTTACATTGAACATGCCATGGTCCCATATGGGCGCCAGATCTCATCCCGGCAGCCCTGTTTCTTTTTTTTTTTTTGTTGATATTCTTTTTTTTTTATTTTATTTATTTTTTTTTTATTTTATTGTTGCTTACACTGTATTATGTAGTACAGTTTTATAGGCGCTGGGGATTCCCCCCACCCCTCCCCATACCCCTCCCCCCATGGTGGATTCCTCCACCTTGCTGCATAACCATAGTTCAAGTTCAGTTGAGATTCATTGCTTGAAAACACATGCCTAGCATAAAGTTCAGCGTCTTATTGTCCAGATAAGTTCAGTGGCCTCCTGGGGAGACCTTCTATGGTCTGAAGATAGGTCTAACAGAGTAAAGATCCGGTCGGTTAAAAGCCCCAACAAGGCCTCAGTTTCAATATACAACATTATGGAATTAATTGACATAGTAATGGGTAAACAATATGTTAAGAATAATGCGAGTTCCATTCTTCGAAACATCTGGGTTGAGACAGTATCAATGACAGGTTCAAAAAATAACAAACAACCAAACAAAAAATTACAGGTTAAATCAAGGCAAACATGTGGTATCTAATCTTTTGGGATTCACTCATTTCCCTTAGCATTATAGTTTCCAGTTGTGCCCATTTAGCCACAAAGAACTGCATTTTGTTTTTTTTAATAGCTGCGTAGTATTCCATGGAGTAGATGAACCAAAGCTTTCTTATCCAATCTTCTGCTGATGGGCATTTC